TTAATTCAAGTTCTAGCAAAGTTGGGTTATCAATTGTTCGGTTCGAGATTGACACTCTCGCTTAAACATCTAGCGGTTCGCTCCCAATAACTCTTCGTAACAAGGGATTGAACATAGACGACCAAGCTGAAGCATACAAAACAGGCCAATGATCCAGTCCCAATAACTTTTCGTAACAAGGGACGGGTCATCGACTCGCACGTATTTCAACCAAAAACCTATAGACTATTCAATTACGAAATAATCTACCTCATGTGAGCCTATTTCTACGAATTCTCCCCTTTCGGTTCTGAAAGTCGCTAATTTAACTAGAAGAGTATTAATAGACTAATCACATAGAATCAACAAAACCCTAACTCGACTAATCAATATTCAATTATTTCTAATTGCAAGATCGAAGTGTCACTCTTCGATTATATCAACCAATCAAAAAAGATTCTATCAATCCCTCATCAAAACAACGCACATAAGCATGAACGAATCGAAGCCCGACAAGTACAATTCAAACAAGAACAATCATCCCTTATCCCTAGCAGTCAGATTTAGCTACGAACCATGAATTCAACAAAATCAAGTATTTCACCCCAATTAATCATTCACATGAATTAAAGAAGATGAAAAATACTTACAATCAATCCAAGGGTAGAATCCAAAGTACAAGCTTAAACCTTAACTAAGAAGAAGAAGAAGAAAATTGGAAAATAAAGATGAAGAGAAGAGGAGAAGAGAAAAAGAGAAGAAGAAGGAGGAAGAACAATGGAGGGAGGAGTCGATTTTTGGAGCTAGGGTTCCTCCCCCATCGAGCACTTTCCTCTCCTCTCGTCTACGGTGAAAAAGATGATGAAGAACTGAGTTTGGGGGTCTTGGGTTCGATTTATTAAGCTTCCCCTTTCAAAATCCGTAGAAAATCGCGTCAGTTACAAAACAGGGCATAGCGGCGCTATGGCCATAGCGCCGCTATGGCTGGAAATGCTCTAGCTTCGCAGTGCAGCGCCGCTATCTGGGTTGGCCATAGCGGCGCTATGGCCATAGCGGCGCTATGGCCTGGGCAGCTTTGCGCGTCGACTTTGTTTTTGCTCGTACGGGCTCGTTCAAACTCGGAATTTAGTTCTGTTTTTTCCTACGCGTCGCTAACGAGCCCCACTTTCTAATGGTGTCAGCCTCCCCAATAGATTCTCGAAAATCTGTTCCTCCGGGGTCTCCAAACTACGCACCAAAAACGAAAAGAGAACAGAAAAAGACCAGAAAACAAACGGAAAACACTGAAACACTCAAATGAACGCAAAACACAAAATAAACGACAAAAAGATCCTAAAACTAACTAAACAACTCAATATGGGGGAAAAAGAACGGTAAAATAATGACCTAAAACGACACAAAAGTGGGACAAACAAACGGGCTCGCGGTCGGGCTGAGGTGCGGGACCCGAGCTAGTGGTGGCGAGCTGCGCGGACTCGGCGTGAACCAGGGCTGGGGCAGACAAGCTGCTCGCCGGTATGCTTGGACGACGCGGTGCTCGGATCTTCGGAATAGTGGCCGAAAATGGAGCATGGTGGTGGGAGCTAGGAGATGAGTGTGAAGATGATGGCTAGGGTGTTCTCTTGAATGGACAAGGTGTTGGGAGATAAAAATTAGCTAAGCGTGGTATTTATACATACATGTGGGGAAATAGAGTTTGAACTATTCTTGGGCTTAATCTTGGGCTTTTAAATTGGCTTGGAATTTTCACGACTTGGGCTCGTAAAAATTAAAATACTACTTGGTCTCGGAATTAAGTTCGATAACTCAAATTAAAAATGGGCCGACTAATTAAAATAAAATCGGCTATTGACTTATTGGGCCAAAATTAAATGGCTCACTTAAATGGGCTCAGAAATTGGGCTTGCTTGGAAATTAAATAAATTTTCGACTTTACTAATGCTCGATTAAAATTATAAATCGAGACTTAGACATAGAATTTTATCTTGTTTCCAAAACACTAATTTGAACATTTTCTCCATGGCTTTAACTTAGAACTTAATAAATTATGTGATTTATAATAATTAAATACGACATAATTATGAACTTACTATTTCTGAAAAATTAAGTCGATTTATATATATAAATCTGGTTTGGGGCTTACAACTTATGCAACCCACATTTTCAATTTCTAAATTTTTCTTATTTCACAAAATGACCATACGAAAATAATAAGAAACCCTTCTCATTTGAATCAATATATTCTTCATTTGTCTCTTTTTTTTGTTTGGTTCGCCTTCACTTCACCCAATTCCGATCGGACATAAAAGACAATGGTAGCACACCAAAGTTCCATTCGAGATGTGGTTAATTGAAAAATATGATGACATGTCCCGATTAGACCTCATATATGAGGGACCGTGCGCCCCCAGTTCGTGCGTCCAATTTCAAGAACTCCAAGTACATTTCGTCAACGACGAACAAAGTATGAGATCCGAGAGCTCCACTGCATGATGGACATAGAGTTTTGGATTTTTTTTTATTTTATTTTCAATATCTGAAATTTCTTTCTCATGAACTTTTCTTGAAAAACTGCAGTGGAAACACCATGGTGGGTTTTATAATTTCTATATTTGGACACATAGTTATATAACTTTGCATTTGTTGCAAATTTGTAGTGAAAAATCACTCGTGTTGTGATTTGTTCGTTGAAATTCAAAAAATTGGAATGAGAAGAAATTGGAAAGGAGAATATTGAACGAAGGACGAGAACAAATGATAGGAGTTCATGGGTGGAGGAAAATGACTTTCTACTCAAGTGTACGGCATCCGTCGTGCCTCACATGATTAGTTGGGTCACCCCATTTCTTAAAATATTCAGTTCCAGTGGGTTGTCTTAAAAAGAATGGTTTAGCTGAATTCAGGAGAATTCTGTCTTTTGCACATTCATCTCTCTCATATTTCTACATCAAATCAAGTTTGATTATTTTATTTAAATATTATTTTAATTTAAACTCAAATTTCCACTAACAAATAGTCATACTATATTTTTCAAAATTAACCCGAGTTAAATAAAAAAAACTTTGTTGAGCGGATATATTTGTATCCAAGCACGCATTAGATGTTAGCCCTTAATATCATATCAACAACAACTTTTGGATTTTTTTTTTTCAATCTTAGAGTACGAGGTAGGGGGTTACGGAGGTCGGAGCCAACTGGATCATGGGACATAGCTCGAGCTTGAGTCTTACGATGATCTAACCATATTTGACCTAAAAGAGATCATAAACGCGTAACTCGAGCTAGTATCCTAGGATGACCTTACCATGCTCGTTCAACAAATAGCTCGAGATGAACAATTCAAGCTTTGGTCTTGGGTCAACCTAAAAAAACTCAGAGCGGTATGGAGTAGCGTTGCGAGATAATGCTCAAATCAAAGGGGCTAGAATTATGATGGTTATTGAAGAAAGGTAACAAGGAAAACAACTCTATGAAGGGATACAAAGAAGATATTCTATATCATTTAGGAGAATCTTTTCATAAATTTAGCACAATTCGGGAGGATCTAAATGACTTGAAGAAGAGATAACATATTTATATATAGGTTCTCTCTTGAGTGAAAAACTCTGAACAATTGAGGAAAAGTACATATAGGAACTAACTTCAGTTTTTGCGTCGGGAACCCCGTGTGCTTTTGTATGTCATTTACGTCTGATCAGACGACGGAAATTTCGATTGTGAAGTGTGGAACACAATAAAATTTCAATAAAATTTTCAATTGAGGTTTTAATGTATACAGAACAATTTTGAAAACAAATTGTCCATATCCCATACTTTCTTCCTCGATTTTATCATTATAACCCATAAATACAAATAATTATTACTACCTCCTATTTTTAATATATGTCGTTTTGAGAAGTTGCACATTAATTAAGAATATTTTTTTTGTCAATAATAACCTTATTTAATGAAGATAGAGATTAATGTTTTGAGAAAAAGTGAAGAGTGAATATGAAAAGACGTAATGTATTTATTGGCTAAATGAGAGTAATAATGGAAAAATATATACAAAATTTCCAAAACGACATTTATTTGACAAATAGTTGAAAAGACTAGAATGACATTTAAAAAAAAAAAGGGAGTACTAAATAGTTTTTACCAAAAGACACTATCCATTGGCTCAATATTCATTATCACCAATCTTTATTTCTTTATTTTTATATGTTATTACCTTTAATTAGTATAATTTTATTTACATTCACCCATAATTTGAAAAACATAAAATTTTATTTTTACAGCTTTCCAAAAATTTTTCGAAAACAAATTATTAATATCCATTGGCCCAACCCAAGGGGGAATTGAGATTACCGAAAGGGAGGGTAGTTTGGGTATTATAGAGAAGTGGGCAGCGATATCAGTCCCTCCAGACCGCCTCACATCCATTACCTCCTCTCCAAATTCCTCTCTCCCTCTCTCTATAAATCCTCCTCTTTCTTCCATTGCCATATATATACATTCACAATCCTATAAAAGACGCATACTTTCAAATTCTTCCCGCTCTAATTCTTACATTTGCTGATTTTTCCTCTAACAATTCCCCATTTTCTCTGTTTCTTCAACTCAAAGGACGGTTTTAAAACCCTAGATCAACTGAATTCACGCTGAAAAAGGTCCGATCTATGCATAATTTGGTTAAGATTGAAAACCTGGTAGCTTAAGCATCTCGAATTTGCTGTTGTTCTTTATACGATCATGTTTTGTTTCACTGGTTCTTGTTTCTTGTTCCCTTTCTCATTAGGCGGGGGCGTAGAAACTTTATAATCAATTACTTTTTTTTTTTTCATAATTTCAACATTTTCCCTTCTCCCTTTAACTCCCTTTCGAGATTAATCAAGAATTTTTTT